ATGCACCAAGAGCTTGTAACACTCCAAAGAGAAAGGAAAACTTGAAATCGCATCATATGACCCCTTTAATTCCAGTTTTATTTAAATGACTAGTTAGTTGACATTAAATATTTTTAGAAATATGAATTATTTAATGTTTTGTGGTGTGACATGCTACACTCCAACTGTAAGTTTGTTATTATATTAAACAACATTTTGTGAATTATTTTTAGTTGTTTGCATGCAGCTTCTATGACTTCATATTAATTGGGAGACTACATTAAATATTTTTACTTTTTATAATTGTTCTTTACACTGCAGGGCAAAATAAAATTAACTATTCATGTAAAAAGGGTTTTTAAAAAAATCAAATACTGATTACCAAAGACTACTTTATATAGTACTATAATATGTTTTTCAGATTTCTTTTCTGTTAGGTATGGATTTATCTTTATTTATCTTTATCTTAATTGTCAGGTATAAGAAATCAGGTGAAACTGTATCTAAATACATACAATACACATTAATATGACTATTTTCTCCTTTCAAAGAGATTCCCAACATTGTTTTTTCTACTTTTATTTATATCAACATGCAAATAATTACAGACATACACACTTCAACAGCAAGACAAAATGCATTATACTGCTGGTATATCATAATAAGCGGGTGTATCTTTACATACCACTATTTAAACAAACAAAAAAGTCAAATCAAAATGACATTCAATTACAACATCCTGCTACACCTGGAGTTTGTCAAAATAAATGCAATGTGCTTTTTATTTAATACTCAATTATATTACCATTAGTATAACTACAGAATAGCATTTGACCTGAATGAGTTTTACTGTATATTTGAAACTCCCAGTCTAACACCCCACACCCGCTCTGAACATCTCTCCACACAACCATCAACACCTCCTGCAACCCCCCTCTCCCCCACTCCTACGTTTCAGATCAGTGAGGACGATGTGCGCCAGGTCTTCAGAAAGAACAAGAGAAGAAAAGCACCAGGCCCAGACGGTGTGACACCAGCCTGTCTGAAAACCTGCGCTGACCAGCTGGCCCCCATCTTCTCACAGATCTTCAACAGATCACTGGAGCTGTGCAAAGTCCCTGCCTGCTTCAAACGCTCCACCATCATCCCCGTCCCAAAGAAACCCAAGATAACAGGACTTAATGACTACAGACCTGTGGCCCTAACGTCTGTGGTCATGAAGACATTTGAGAGGTTGGTGTTAGCTTATCTGAAGGACATTACTGGACCCTTACTAGACCCCCTGCAGTTTGCTTACCGAGCAAACAGGTCCGTGGATGATGCAGTCAACATGGGACTACACTTCATCCTGCAACATCTGGACAAAACAGGGACTTATGTGAGGATCCTGTTTGTGGACTTTAGCTCCGCTTTCAACACCATCATCCCAACACTCCTCCAGACCAAACTAACCCAGTCCATCACATCCAAGCCATCTCCTTTTTGAACTTTTGCCATCTGGTCGGTGTTACAGAGCACCGAATACCAGGACAGACAGGCACAAGAACAGTTTCTTTCCACAGGCAATCTACCTCACGAACAGTTAATGTTCTTCCATTGTGCAATTATAGTACAGTATGTGCAATAACCTTATACTTATTTATCACCCTAAACCCTAGTACATCCCTACAACTTATTTTATTTTATTCTATTCCTACTCCATCTATAGCACACCTGTACATACAATTTATTCTTTTTTTGTGGTTTATATTTATGCATGTGTATTTTATTCACATCTCATTTTTATTATCTGTGTGTTATTGTTGTCTCCATGTACTGGAAGCTTGTGACACTATAACAAATTCCTTGTATGTGCAAACATACTTGGCAATAAAGCTCTTTCTGATTCTGATTTCTGATTCTGATACAGACATTTACAGACAATTATTAAATCTAAAACATACATTAGCATTTTTCTAATGAGAAAATATATATTGGGATTAACTATATCAAATGGGTAACATTTTTCCTATAATCTTTTAATCTTTCACAAAGAAAAAAAACCTATGTGAAGTAGTCTAGTCTTATAGTGACTCCCATTTCCTTCATTTTCACTCCCTACTCTCTCCTTTAACCAGGGCCTGATTTACCTCTTTTCGTGACATAGGCAAAACACATTTTTGGGCCCCCCTTCCTTATTAATATAATAGGCCTAATATTACCACCCAAGCAAACAAAAATATTTCTTAATCAGTGGAAACTGTTAAAGTGTTTTCTATCGCAATAAACGCTTGCGTTCAGTCAATAAAAATCGAATGTAGTTCTTAATTTGTTTGAGAACTGAGAAAGAATTAATAGGCGCAGCAATGTGGCGACATAACCAAGTGCAGTATTTCTCTAATGATTTTAACGGCCTGGAGTCACAATCACACATCAATTGTTCAGATGATTTGTTTCAAGACATTTGACATGTTTCTGTCCTGAAATCTCGTGTGTGTTGAAATAGCTAATTTTTTACGCACCTCATCCTTCCGTTGCAAATTCCAAAACGTAATTTTAGAGCTAATAACAGAGGCTTGAGCCATTGATATGCAGGCTAACGCAGTTATTAATGCAGTCTAATGCAGTTATTAGAGGGAGAGCGAGAGATTAAGTGCGTGTGAATACTTGCGTCTCTCAGCAGCGTTCAGCAGCAGCCTCTACTAATAGCGAATCTTTAAGTTGAACTGCTTCAAGAACCTCGCTACTGAGAGAAATATCATGTAGCTTTTGAGCTGCAAAACTTTTTTTACTGATAAATTTGCGGGGCAACGCTGATGACAAGTTTCTGTTCGCGTCTCTGCGTGTGTGCGCGAGTGCGTGTCTGTACTGTGTGTGCGTCTATGAGAGAGAACGGGATAAAGAAAGTGTGATTTCCGTACATAAAAAAGGTGGAAAACATGGAAATAGTTTGTCATTTTTACCCTATTGTTCGTTATATTTATTTGCTCAATGTCTTCTGGGGTTTTGGTTCTTTTACTGTTGTAGATATCCCATAGTA